GACACGCCGGCGTGTCCGTAGTCGTGGAGGGATTAAAGGTCATTACTCGTTGATCGTTTGTCTTGAATTCCAAAAATAAAAAGGTTGAATTGTTTAAATTCAATATAAATTCGTACATAAAAATTAAACATTGAATGATCCGCTCTAAGTGCAAACCACTGAGTTAGATCTACAGCTTTACGGCTCATACACTATGAATATTTTATTATGTATTATTGTGACTTTGTATTTTATTTTACAGCTCTTCATTACTTAGAGGCTACAATCATAATATCCAAAGGATCTATAGAGAGAGCAAAGTCTCAGCTAGATAGAATTTGCACAATAAGGACCTTATTACCACATTTTTTTGGTGATTATAACATTAAAACTGACTTTGGAAAGTTACATGAAAAATCGTAAGTATGACTTTATTTTATCTATAGATACATAAATAGGCAAAGACAAAACAGTTCAATGCCTTTCTCTCCTCTGTTTTTCAACCGAATAGCTTTTTTAACCCGACGCAAAAAGAGGGGAGTTGTAGGTTTAACGTGTGTGTCTGTCTGTGGCATTGTAGCGCCCAAACGGTTAAACTGATTTTCATTTAGTTTGTTTTTATTTGAATCGTGACTTAATCGATCTTAGCTATAAATCATGAAGATCAGTCGTTTGCAGGCTATCAGCTCTTTTCAAGACGGCAAAAGGAAATGAACAACTTCCACAGATCTAATCGATCGGAAACTTTGTATCCGGCCACTTTTAATGACAATGCAATGATATGGTAACCTAGGCTTAATACTGCAGCGTCAGCCCTCCAACTATTTTTAGACAAAAAATAACGTCAATCCGTCTCTCTGTTTCGACGTGAAAGAAGGACAAACAAACAAACACACTTTCACATTTCTAGTGATATTCTCCCGACCGATTCCGGCCACGGTGGCCAATCTCATTGAGACTAGCCAACTGCGCAGGAGATATTATAGTGCACAAGTGTACGCGCAGACACAAGTGCACTCTCTATTCCTGTCACTCTCATACTCCGGTGGGACGACTGCTCGACACGACCAGTGAGAGTTAAGGCGCAGGACCGACGGCTTTACGTGCTCTCCGAGGCACGGGGGTGAAACACCGCCAACTTCCCAACTCCGGGCTGTTACTGAGGCTTACTATACAGAAAGACTCAATAACTAAACTTGGCCTGACCCGGGACTCAAACCCAGGACCTCCGGGTGTGTGGCTGTACTTGCTAGCCACTACACCACCGAGGCATTTACATTTCTAATATTAGTATGGATGTTAGAATGGTGCAACCCTACGATTTCCTATTTAATAAAAATAAAGATTGCCTGGGAGAAATCACTTCATGTGATAGGCCGTCATACATTTAAATAATTTATTTTAATGTAGCTTTAATGTGTTTTTTTACATTGTCATATTTTGGTGTAATGAAGAATTAAATAATAACAATAATGTTTATATTATTTTACTATTGGTAATACTTATTAATTTATTTGTTTAGGTACGTAATCGCGTTGCCAAAGTTAACGGAAGACCAACAAAGGGTTTTTCTGCATAAATGCATAGGCGCTCCGACCTGCGCGTCACAATTCATGGATTTTTATAAATCTAATATCATAGTAAATATGTTTATATTTATTTAACACTAGCATTTATACTCTTTAATAAAAATAAATTAACCTAAATACTTCAAAGATGAAGTTTGAGGTTTATATATAATTGAATGACGAATGAATTTTATAGTGTATATATATATATATATATATATATATATATATATATATATATATATATATATATATATATATATATATATATATATATATATAAATATACACACTATAAAATTCTCGTAATAATGTTTTTTACCTGACTAATTTCGGCCACAGCGACCAATGCTACTGAGACCAGCCAATTGAGCGGGTGATATTATAGTGCATAAGTTTACCCGCTGACACCAGTGCCCTACAATATTTCTATCACTCTCAAGTTCCAATGGGACGGTAATTCGACACGACCGTAAGAGATCAGGCGCAGTACATGCTCTCCGAAACACGGGGTTAAACAAGTTTACCATCTCAACTGCTGTACTGGGACCTTCTAAATAAAAAGACTCAATAAATAAATCTGGTCCGAGACTCGAACCCAGGGCCTCCAGTTTGCCACTACACCACCGAAGCAGTTATTATTATATAGCAATATAGCAAATACTCAACAAAATAATATTTTATTACAGTATGCAGAATATTTGAGAAACCATGATTATTTAATCGGTTTTATATTAGTGCTGGACTTTACGGAAACAAACCTTATGGAGCATATTTCAAAATTGAATCCTATCGATTTAAGACAGGCTATGTCAATTTATATGGTAAGTAAATACCTATTACTTATCCACAGAAACCACTTAATATGTAAAGATACAAAGTATCTGCTCTGGCGCTAAGTAAAATTAAGAGACAACTCCATCAATTTTATTAGATACATAACTACCTATCGAACTAGTAAAAGTTATAAAGAAAAAAATTTCTTTATAACTTTTACTAGTTCGATTGAGAACATTGTACACAAACTGTCGCATTTATCTTCTACACATATAATAAAATTGTAACTAAGCCGATTGTACCATGAAATACTTATTGTTTGGAAAATCTTATTGAAATAGACATTATTATCGATACAGAGGCCGAATCTATAGCTTTTAGATTTTTTGTCTGTCTGACTATCTGTCTGTGACCACTTCACGGAAAAGCCATTGGAGGGATTTTGATGAATTTGTTATGATGATAGCTGGTTATCCGAGTCAACATATATAATACGTTTTAGTGCGAAAAAATATCTTATCCTTAAGAAATCTATGCTATACGTTAAAACTTAAGTAGAGAAGGAGGGTTTGTCGCTAGTATTAATACTATGTTTGTGCAAATATTAGCTATCTATATGTCAATCTCAGCCTATGCCCTTATTACGAGAAACTTTAAAACTTAACTTTTTAAGTCATTTCCACTTAAGAAAATTTATTATTTAAAGGGTGACCATTAAGTTGAATAAAATTAACACAATTGATACTAACATCGATCTTATAGTTCATTCTACGACTTCCTGTACAGTAAACAACTCCTAAAAATTGTAATACAAAAGACATCAACCAGTAGCGAAGGGTCCATACGTCAACACGATTCCCACCGTCTTACCTTTTACAGATTCAATAATCCATCATTCAATATACTTAAATATTAATTATTTTGATAATACAATATTAATAATACACATAATTTGTAATTAAAAAATCAACTTATTATTACGACGTCAATATCTGAAAATAATAAATCGCCTACAAAAATCATAAGCATTAAAAAAATCATAATCACGCGCAAAAATGTATTTGCGCTCCAAATTGCTTAGGCTTTTCTTCATAGAAATGCCACGATAAGACGTTGTATTTTAGCTTACCGTGTTCATACTAAATTGTGTTTCATTCATACTTTTGGATAGAACATTGTCACGTGGCGTCATTCATTTTTAGCATTTTACGCATGCGCACTAATCAAATTTTTGTTATTCGAAAAGCTGCTTCTCAACGTCTTATCCTACTTGTGATTGGTCAGAAATTACAAAACGTCAAAATTAATATGAAATGAAATAAACTATTATGACTTTTTTTGTTTCATTGAGTTTTAACTTGATTTTAGCGTATTATAGACATTTTGTGCTGTGTTTGTTTGTGGAATGTGTGTGTTTCACATATTTGTTAATTTCGGTAAGTTCTATTAGCCATTATGGCATTAATTTGCATTTTACATACTATTTATTGACTTTAGTTTTCTGAACTAAGTTGTTTAATAAAAATAAAAAGTATGTCGTCAAGTTACTCATTTGTTTGAAATATTATTTAATTATTACCTGAAATGAGTTTTCTAAATATTTTCATAAAACTTTTTATTAAAAATATATGTGAACGTGCTGAATTAGAATATATTTAGTTTTCCTTGGTTATTGTTATCTGATTTTATTTAAGTTTGAAGTAAATTTTAATATGTTAAAGTTATTTTAAATACATAACGTTAATCCAGTGGACACTGACGGTGCGATTGGTCCACCAATTTAAGGTCGTTCAGCGTGCTATGGAGAGAGCTATGGACGGAGTTTCTCTGAAGGATTGGATCCGAAATGAAGAGATCCGACAGAGCACTAGAGTTATCGACATAGCCCAAAGAATAAGCAAGTTGAAGTGGCAGTGGGCTGATCACATATGTCGCAGAACCGATGACCGATGGAGTAGGCGGGTTCTAGAGTAGAGACCACGGCTCGGCAAACGTAGTGTAGGACGCCCTCCAACTAGGTGAAGCGACGTAAACTGGCTGGCAGCGTTTAGATGCGTAGAGCTGAAGATCGAGCTCAGTGGCGTGCCATAGGAGAGGCCTATGTCCAGCAGTGGACAAAAGTAGGCTGAATATGATGACGTTAATCAACAATATAATTTGACGAATTAAGTTAAAAATTAACTAGATAGGTTATTCAGACACTTTAAAAACGGACGTATTGATATAGGATATTATAATTAATAATAAATAAAGCCTGTACTTCTTATTGTTCGTTTTCTTGTGTAGAAGTATCTATTTATTTCATATTTTTTGTTCAATTTGGCTTGATAAACAAAATACAATAAATTTATGATAATATTAAGTGATGCGTAATGATTTTTTAGATGGCGTTTTCATATTTTATGAGGTGTTAATATTTAATTGTATATAATGTATTTTGCTAGAATATTTTTCATACATTTAAAAAAAAATATCTTAACAATAACATTTCTTATTGTTTTTGTATTGATATATAAAAATTGTATATCAACTTTTTTTGCCTGTTTTTTTAGACGGTTTACCTCTGCTAAAATTTCACCCTTCGCCACTGACTTTACCTTCTTTTAAATTAAAAAAGAAACAAAGAGCTATCATTCAATATAAATAACAATATATTAATTTCAGGAAGGCTACGGAATGAAAATAAAAGCAATTTACATAATAACAGCTTCGAAGCTCATAGACGCATTTGTTACGATCTTCAAGCAAGTACTTAATCCTAAAGTAGCTGATCGGATTCAAATACTTAAAAGTAAAGAGGAACTACATAAAGTCATATCTAAGAGTATACTACCTAAAGACTATGGAGGTGAAGAAAGATCCTTAAAAGAGTTACAAGGTTTGTATGTCGATACTCTATTCTCTTCAAATAAAAAATATAAACCTATTTATGGGGTCACATAGCACTAGTTCAAGCTGTTTATGGTCTACTTTAGGTGGAGACGACACGATTGGCTCAGTTTGTAGTGACCCTACACACCCTTCTTGTTGTGCTAACGGTCGCGGGTTCGAATCCCGCTAGATTCATTTGTGTGATGAACTCGAATGTTTGTACTCCAATCAGAGGTGTTTAATATATTTATAATATGTATGCGTTTAAAATTTATATGTGTAGTGTATCAACTATCTGGTATTAATAACACAAGCCTCTTAGCTTACTGTCGAACTTGATAGTGCTTTGTGTTAATGTCGCAATATATTTATTTATTTACTTAATTTGGGTGTTTTTTGCTTTTTATGTATGTTACGTGATATTTGCGCCAATTTTACACCAATTTGTACGATACTTTCTTAAATGTATTGATGAACTTTAAAGATGCTCTCCTGCGTATAATAAATAATAATACAATTTTTATACGTCCCATTACTGGGCACGGGTCTCACTTCAATACGGGGATCGGGACATAGTTCACCATGCTAGCCAAGTGCAGAATAGCGGACTTCCTATGTCTTCCAAAAACTATTCAGTTCCATGAGTTAGATTCTCAGACATGCCGTTTTCCTCACGATGTTTTTCTTGGTGGAAGGCGAGTGGTAATTTTGTTGAAATTATTGGAACATAAAAATATCAGAGGTGCAACACCCGATATTTGAACTCGTTTCAATTGGCTTTCTAAGCAACGAGTTACCACTGCCTTTGTTAAGTAAGCCTAAAGATACAACTTTGGCTATGCATTCTAAAATGAAGAAATAGATTAGATGTAGACTAAATTAAACAAATTTTTATAATCAAGCTACAGTCACAATGTAGTTTTTTTTTCCATTTTCCAGACGAATGGCTTGACATCCTATCAACAGAAGAGCATATGAACTACGTCAGAGAAATGAATACCGCTGGTACAGACGAATCGTTAAGACAACGAGATAAATTCACAGAGCAATACGCAGGCATGCCCGGCACTTTTAGATTATTAACCGTTGATTAATCATAGTTTAAGACGTCAAGTTGAATAATGTCATGTTTGTTATACGGAACTATTTTATATACATAGTTCAAAGTTACAATTATCTATACTATTAAATTACTGAGGTTTTAAGATTACTTTAATTGCATATACGGGATTTTTTACATAATAATGTAATAAATATTAGCTTGAAAGGAGCTTAAATAGCTTTATGTTATATTTTCGAACAATCAATAAACAAGATTAGGCTATAAACTAATTCCATTTCTTTCTGTTATTACTTTAAAATCTAATTTTTCAGAAAAAATCAATTTTAACCCTAAAATCGATTAAAAATTAATAAAATATATATTACATAAATGTTTTCTACGGGAATAAATATAAAAGAAAAGGTATACTTTACGTGACTTCCATTTTTTTTAATTTTTTCACGACTCGTCAAAATTGGAATATATAAATTAAGCGTCAAATTAAAAACTTAAGTATAGTGTTTTTTTTTTTTCGTTTTTTCCCGCAAAATACAATGTTGTAATCAACTTATAAAAAAAAATTCAATGATTATTAAAAAATGTAGTTTACCGAATTAAAATTATCCAATTTATTAAATTTTTAAGGTTTTTTTTAAAATTTAAGTTCAAGATGAAAAAAGTGATTCCTACCGGAAAGTTGAACGAAATTTCTTTAAATTTACATTTACATATCTACTTGAAGTAATGTACAGATTCGGCTTAATTACAATTTTATTATATGTATAGATTCAAATCTACACTAGTTTGCATATAAAGGAAATAATAATTAATATGCTTTATTATACTATGTAATAGCAAAAAAAGAATGACGTAAACACAAATTCGATTATAATAGTTTTGCCGGTTAATCGGATATACACAATTTTGAAACTGTACATAATCACGGAATTTAAAATAATTGTAATTTGAATTTAAATTATCGCAGGATTATCACATTTATATATATGTATAATAAAGTTCATAATTTCTTGGTATCAAGGTATGGTTCATAATTCATTGTACATATTACGTGTCGTTTGAATAAGTTTCAACAACATTATTACCGACGTCATAAAAGAAACAAAAGCGCAGCTCTTAGAATAGAGATAGGGAGACTTGGTATAAATAGTCATCTAATAAATTAAATGATATGTATATTAAATACTGTATAGGTAGGTACATGATATTTGTAGTTATGTATATGATATGACAAAATCTAGAATAATTAAATTTATTCTTACTTAAAAGTCATCATCATTGAGAATAAAAATATTAATGAAAATATTAAGTGTTTTTTTTTACTCACAACCATCAAAGATGGTTGCCTCCGCAAAAACACGTACTCAATTTTGGTATATATCTTTTTGTGTATGTTAATAATAATGTCCTCCAGGCCGATTTCAGTTACGGCGGCCAATCTCACTTAGACTAGCTAGATGCGCATGAAATATTAGTGCACAGGTATACGCGCAGACACAAGTGCACACTCTATTCCTTTTACCCTCAAAGTCCGATGGGACGACACTTCGACACGATCGGTGAGAGTTAAGGCGCAGGATCGACCGAGGTACTCCCCAAGACACGAGGGTAAAATATCGCCAACTCCCCAACTTCAGGCTGTTACCGGAACTTCCTTAACAAAAAGACTCAATAACTATACTTGGCCTGAGCCGGGTCTCGAACCCATGACCTCCGGATACAGCTATACATATGTTACATGCTGGTCACTAGACCACCGAACGGAAATATCTTTACGAAACCTGCATGTCTGGGAGAACATAGAAAGTTTTCGAAAGACATGTGAATTCCCCCAACCCGCACTTGGCCAGTGTTGTGGACTATGGCCGCATCTCCCTCGTATCGGAAGAAGGCCCGTACCTAGCTGTGAGACGTTAAAAAAAGACAGAATACAAATATATACACAATATCTTTGGACATTGTGAATTAATTTTCATGGTCATTTTTTTAACCAACCACCTCAGTGGTCTAAGAGCATACAATAATGTTTAAATAATTTTGAAGTTTTTGTACATAAGTACACCGCCTTCAAAGTCACCGTTTAAGTAAATTTGAATAGTAATTATGAATTACATTACCAGTATGCAAAAAACCTTACAATAAAATATTTTATATATATATATATATATATATATATATATATATATATATAAATTATGTATGTTATACAAAATAAAGTAATAGAATTTCGACAAAACACTTAAAATATATCAAGTAATTATAATTACACAAAACTATTTTTTTCTATGTCACCGAATGTATGCAACTATTACTTCAGCTGTATTTTGTGATAAGTACTCAGTTAAACAGTTGAAATGGGTAAACTCGTTAACGTAAGGAACTATGGAAGTCGGAAACTGGGAAAGACATAGGATAATTTTAATCCCAGATATCATCCCTTAAGGGAGTAAAATTGGGGATGAAAATTTGTATGGGGAATAAAGCCAGAGACGAACCCGAGCGAAGCGAGAGTGAATCGCTAGTATAATATAAGAAAATAATAACCCTAATATCTCTCAAGAAGCCTCTATGTTCCAAATAAAATAATAAGGGAAATGATTTTCCCATATAATAAAGCTGATTTGAATTATTTCAATTGTATAAGTATAAGAAGTAAGAATATCAATTGAAGATTCTAGAATCTAGATCAATATTAATTTATTAGCCTTCCCACAAGGCAATTGAAAAGTTTTACTACAGTTGCTTAGGAATGAAAGCCTTTGAAATTTCTTTGAAATAAACTTAATATTTAGTAACATGTTGTACTGTTTTCTATAAGAGATTCGAAGTTTAATTTCCAATTCAGAACACAACCACAACGAAAATAACATGTTTTATAGTAGCACCTACCTTTTGAATTATAAAAATTTCAGGTTATTAAAAACTAAGAACTAATATTAGAACTAACATCTATATACATACATATGTAAAACAAAGTCGGGTTTGTTACAACACTTATAACTCGAGAATTGCTGGGCCGATTTTTATGATCTTTGTTTTGTTGGATATGTCTTTACTCCGAGTAGTAGAATAACTATTAAAACATTGGAAAAAGTTACAAAAAACAATTTAGAAAAAAAAATATTCCATACGTCAAAATGTACCTAAGAACGAACCTGAGCGAAGCAAGGGTGAGTCACTAGTTTGTAATAACGTACATTGATATGTACATTGTACACACCACCAAAAAATTACCTTATTTTATAATTTTAGAACTGACATAAAACAAAGCCGGCTAAACAGTATTTAAAAAATAAATTCACTAGTCGTTAACATTGAAGAGGCTTCGCGAGGTAATAAAGGACATTTAAAACACAGAAGGATTCTTTCTTAGATTTACGCGAATATTTGACATTTTAAATAAAACTATCTTTTCGGATTATTTCACGGGAGAGAGTCTCTCCCGTGACCATGATCGCTGTAAAGCATTCGAAACGTCGGGAACCAAAAATCTAAATAAATCCGCGAAATAATCTGAAAAGATAGTTTTATTTAAACAAGAAGATTTGTCATAGCTCTTATTAACTGGTAACGTTTGTAGAAATTCGTAACGTAATTCTAAGAAATTATTACATTAATTATAGTGTGATTTAGTTGAAGCAATTGATATCAACTTAATTTAATTATATACATATACTGCCCCAAGGGGTCTTCCACTACGATCCGTACTATTGGAGCTCCAAGAGATGAAAATGAAGGACCACTCATTAAAACACAAGACACGCAATAACTTTCGTCGACCGCGGGATCGGGGCAGAACTCTGTGAAGCCTGTGTTTGTACAAGCCTACAACGTTCCACTATCACGATGATAGATTTCCATTGTGGATGGCAGCAACCCATAACATATTTGGTTTATTTATATACTAGCGAGTAGCAACTTACCATTGCTTCACTCGAGCACGGTAATTATGTACAACATTACCGTGACTCGAGTGCGTGCACCCTACGTGCGTTTTATATTTTTTTAAATAGTTATTGTGAGCGTACCTTAAGAGAAAGACACATGCTATTGCGAACTCTTCTGTAGGCCTTTTTCTTTATTTTTATGTATCTGTAAATGTTAAGCCAATGTTAGCCATCTAAATTTCTAAAGATGACTTGACCGAACCAGTAAGTCTTTTCCCTTTGAAATAAAAGATTTTACCTCAGGAAATAATGAAATCACTATGCTTTATCTCTTTAATTAAGGAAAATTAATCATATAAAATGCTTAGATAAATTAAAATTAAGTATACGTTAAAGTCGGATAAAAAAGGTTTAAAAAAGAGCGTCTATATCAACAGACTGAAATACCTAAAAACTGTAGTTCTAAGTTCTGTTTTCCAAGTAAGATAACTAAAGCTCATTTACTGGCTAATTCACTAATTTACATGAATAGTCATTCTAAAAATACTTTTATAATACTAGCGTCTCATCCTCGCACCACTCGAGTTCGTTCCTAGATATGTTTTGAGATATTTAGTAGCAATAAAAAGTATCCTATATGTTGACCAGAATAACCAGCTATCGTCATACCAAATTTTATCAAAATCTGTCCAGTAATTTTCTCGTGATACAGACGTGAGACAGACAGCCAAAAATTCTAAAAACTATAGATTCGGCCTCTATATCGATAATAATGACTATTTCAATGAAATTTTCCAAAAAAAAATTAATGTACAGATTCGCCTCAGAATTTTATTATATGTATAGATATATTTTATTGAATAAAATCTATTGAATGCTCAGAAACTAATCAGTTAAATAATACCTACACATAAGTAGGTACGTATTACGAAATATTGTACTTAAACTAAAGTTATAATATAACAAAATAATAATAAAAAAATGTAATTTTTATTTAATCTATATTTTTAAATCTACATTATTATGCAGATGTATAAAAATTATATACTTAAAAATATTATATTAATATTTTCGCTTTAATTTTTAAATTATATAATATACCTACCTATAAATTTAATTGTTAAACTCGGCAAGACCAAAAATC